AGTGATCTCAGTGATGTAAGAACTGAGGTCATTTGCTGATGTGCACAATAAGAGTAAACAGACTTGTGGTTTCAATTCATGCATGTAATTAAACCAAGTAGGGATGACAATTCTCATTAATTCTGAGATCATGATTTGACCAGATTAGCTGGAGGGAGAATAAACCAAAGTTTTGATGATACGGATTTTGAATATCAGTAATAGTACATCCTTCCTTCATTCTTATAAAGTTAGTTTCCAAGGTGACTCCCAATTCATACAGTTTTGTCTAAGCCTTGATGGAGCTGTACTCTGATGCTCTAGTACGATGACTGCTGAGTTAGAAAATGCTGAATTCAAATTCTACCTTTGGCCCCAACAGGTTGTGTGACTTTGAAAGTCATTTAATTTCTGCAAGACCGTATTCTCTCATCAAATGGGGGAACTGAATTAGATGTTCTCTAAACTCCCAGTTTTAGGACTCTTATTTAGTGAATAAGGGGAGCAGTGATTCAGTTCACTGGAAATTTTCAAACAGCAATGATGAATTCACTAAGGGTAGACTAAGGAATTACTGAAGAGCAGTTAAGCCAGGCTGGGTAGCCAGCAAAAGTAGGAAAGTAAACAGGCTGGGGTGGGGAGGAGAGGCTACCCGGAATTAAGAGTATCATGGGGCATATTACACAAAGTAATTTAAAAATAGCTACAAACAATTAAGAATAACTACAAATAATTAAAAAGTCAGACCAGAGAGTCCAGGCTGGGACAGAAGACAGATAAAACCCCTACTTTTAACCACCTATTTTTATATCATGATCATGATGTTATTTATCCCAGTTCACTAGTTGATGCACAGAGGACAAGGATCTTACCTGAGTCTCTCCAGTAGTTTCTGAAGTCTTGGTCCTTCAGCTTCTCGAATCATTCACAAGTCATGTTTCATTTCTCTGAACTGCCACATGACACTTCATAATGATCTGGCTCACAGGAGGCAATGTTCTGTTAATCAAGACATGTTTTTTTCCGTTTCATTTAAATTATTTTGTTATTCCCTTTCACTTAAATGAAATACATACTTCTTAATGCAAAAATTCGAATACACACATACACAATGTAGATAGTGACAGTCCCTATAATTCCTCTTCCTATTGTTACGATTGGTAAAAACTCCTCCAAGCGATTTTTCTCTCCATACTCTAACATATTATTTACAAAAAATAAAATTATGAAGTTTTGCAAACTGCCTTTTATCTCCCTAACACATATAATCCAGGTATTTTTTCATGTCAGATAATAGAGAACTTTCTTTTTTGCTTTATTCATTTTTAAAATTTGATTTTTAAGTAATCTCTACAACCCAACACGGGGTTCAAAATCATAATCCCAAGAGTCGCATGCTGACTGAGCCAGCCAGGCATCCCCCTAGGTCTGCTTTATTCATTTTGACAACCACAGAGGAATCCATTGTATCACTATAGCATAATTTATGCAAATCCTATTGATGCCATTTACCTTCTTTACAATTTTTTTTTGATATTGCAAACATGCTAGTGACGATCCGTGTATGTATCTTGCATTATTTGGATAAATGTTCCTAAGCAATATATTTATTCTTAAAAGTCTAATCACTTACTTCAATAAAATTAAACAAATGTAAATTTTAGGAATAAAATTTCTGACTCAGAGTATTTTAGTAGTTAATGCTAAATTGTCCTCCTAAAATGTTGAACCAATTCATGATCTCATCAGTGTATGAGTAAGCTGTTTCCCCACTCTCTTGCTAGCACTGAGCAGTCTTATTTTTTTGTTTTTTGAAAACCTTTCCTATCTGAGGTAGATGTAGAATTGTCAGATAATAGTAAGTAAAAATATAGGACGTCTAGTAAGATTTGAATTTCAGATACACAAAAAATAAATATTACCCATCTCCATCTACCAGATGGCCTATGTTTCTGGTCTATCCTTTTGTATCATTAGCGGTATCTTTATCAATACTTATCTGAAACATTTATGTTATCCTAAATGGATGAGAAATATTTGCTATTTAAATTTGCATATTCTTAAGGTTTGGGAGAGAATCTTAAGTAGGCTATACCTTCAGTGTGGAGCCTCTCATAGGGCTCAATCTCATGACCCAGAAATCATAACCCTGAGATCACAAGATGAACCAAAATCAGGAGGCAGACACTAAACTGACCGAGCCAGCGAGGCACCTTCATCCTTCCAGACTTTCATCATATTCAATCAACAGTGAAGAATTTGTTAGAATTATTAAAATAAAAAATACAGAAGTAAACATGTAAACTATGCAATTGGAAGCTATTGTCATCTGGGAGTGTGTTCTGATTAAAATAACTTACTCTTTATCAGTTATGGACTTCTGGGAGAAGAAAAGTGGAATTTTAGTGGTTTCTTCCATCTGATGTTAAAAAATTTTTATTGTGGAAATCTCAAACATATACAAAAGTAGAAAGAATAATTCCGGTTGCTCAACTTCAAAAATTATCAACATAAGGTCAATCTATTCCCCCTACCATCTCACATTCTCCAGATTCTAAAGCAGATCAAGAGACTCTTTAATATTCCATCCAACAGAGCTTAATACCAGAGTTTTTTTGAATATTACTAATAGCTAGCAAGATTTTTATCTCAATGTTTTGCATTCTTGCCATCTGATGTTCCTATCTGATGTCTTAAATTACTCCAATTGGTCAAAGAAGGGACATCTAAGATTTAGGCATGAACAATAATTAAAAGTGCCAATGCTCTCAACATAAAAATTAAGTATTATAGAGGCAGAAAGCCTATTACTAACCTGAGTCACATTTTTGGTTGACACCTAGTTATAGTCCCTTAGTCTCCTATGTATAAAATCTGGATAGCAACACTATCTACCACACCATTTAGAAAAATGAAACTTGTGCTTTGATATTCTTTTAAAAAGTGAGCTGCCTAACCAGTTGTGCTTTTATTTTTTATTTATTTTAAAGATTGTATTTATTTATTCATGAGACACAGAGAGGCAGAGACACAGGCAGAGGGAGAAGCAGGCTCCCTGCGGGGATTCTAGGATCACGCCCTGGGCCGAAGGCAGGCGCTAAACCACTGAGCCACCCAGGGATCTCAGTTATGCTTCTTTTAATTGTTCTTAGCCTTTAGCTCAATGAATGAATCCTTGGTAAAGAAATATTCTCTTTCACTTGTAGAAGAATGAGGAAATAAAAAGATCTTATAGAATATTTTTAAAATTTGTATAATTCTCAACAAAATTTGCCACTTAAAAGGCTTAAACATTTTTGAGATCAAATTTATAGTGTTCATTTAGACTACTTTTAAAATGTACAACTGAAAAAATAAATAAATAAAATGTACAACTGTTCCTGTATATTCACAAGATTGTGCAATCATCATCACTAATTCCAGAACATTTTATCACCCCAAACAGAAATCCCCTTCTCCCCATCCCCTGGCAACAACTAATCAACTTTCCGTTTTTACAGATTTGCCTATTCTGGCAATTTCATACAAATGGAATCATACGAGGCTTTTGTGCACTTAGCATGTTCTTAAGGTTCGTTCATGATGCAGCCGAATCCGTACTTCTTTCCTTCTGGCCGAATAATATTCCGTTGTGTGGATACACCACATGTATTCATTCATCAGTTGATGGTTATTTGGGTGTTGTTTCCTATTTGGCTACTGTGCACAATTCCGTCAACATTCATGTACAAGTTTCTACACGAACATGTTTTCATTTCTCTCAGGTACACACCTAGCAGAATTACTGGATCATTAGCATAACCAAACTTAACGTTTTGAGGAACTGCCTATTTTCCTAACTGGGTTGCACTTTTTTACACTCCCACCAGCAGTGCATGAGGGTTCCAATTTCTCCATATCCTCATCAATTTTTTTTGTTTTGTTTATAATTATAGATGCCTGGTTGGGATAAAAGTGGGATCTCATTGTGGTTCTGATTTGCATTTTCCTAATGACTAATGATACTGAGCATCTCATGTGCTTAGTGGCTATTTGTATTTCCTTGGAGAAATGTCTATTTAATCCTTTGTCCATTTTAAAATTGGGTGGTCTTGAGTTAGAAAGTTTGCATAAAGACGACACACAGAAATAAGAGCTGATAGAGCGGCAAGACTGAGCCATGATGATCTATTTTGGACTCAGACTCCATGCATAAAGTCAGACCTATCTCTTTGAACCAAAACATTCTTGGTGCTTAATCGGACTAGAATAATGAAGGGATAATCTCCCGTGTCAGGGTCCCTCAAGTAGAATGGGACTTTTCCCTCATTAGATTTTCTGGTCAATCCCCAGACCCCACCCTATACTGTGGGCACTGGATAGGAGGTAGGGGAAAGATGAATGATGCCTGGCACGACTAGAAGTGCCACTTCCAATCCCACAGTGCCTGGCAGAAATTTTAAGACTACGGAGACCTTTGCACAACCTCATAATGCCTATAAGCACCAACTTAAAAATAAAGCAACAAAGTACACATTCAAAGTAACTAACCTATAGGGCAGATAGATAAAAACTAACTTTAAGTGCTAGAGTAGATCTTAAATACTATACAAAGAATACAGACTCTTACATTAAATATAGGCATGGTTGCCATTAAGTAATATTAATGTTACATGTTTTCCAAAATACTTTCCTACCTATTATTGTTCCTAGGTTTCCCAGACAGATCAGTAAGTACTACTAAATGTTCCAATTAGATGAGTCCAAAAGTACAGGGCTCACTACGTGGACCTGAACAGGAGGCTGAGGAGAAAGTGGAGAAATCAGGGGTCATATGTGAAGTTGATACATAGTTGCTTCCTATGTATCTTTGGAAAACGTATGAAGGATTATATATTTTCTAAGTGAAAACTAATGACATGCGGTACTTAGGCAGAACAACACTTAGAATATGATCTTTGCCAAAATGGAGATACATTAATTGTAATGAGAGAGCTACAGGTGCTTATTTAAAGAGGAAGAAACACATCAAGAGGCAGACACAAGATCTATAAACTACATTTATTGAGTGCTTACTGGGCAGTGGGCACAACAGATACAAAAGAGGTAGGATGGGGAGAGGTTACGAACTTTAAAAATTAAATATACATGTTAATTTACCCACTAATTCTACCAGGTAAATACAAAATTTGTATAACTCACACGTTAATATGAAATTGTGATGCCTGTCAAAAGGATGAGCTATACATACAATGCAAAAAAATTTTTTAAATTGTGCTTAACATGAGAATTACCCTAAAATGGGTTGATAAAATGCCTATACAGCATTCTTTCTTATTACATACATATATTTTACCTTAAAGATTGCTTGAAAAGTACAAATCCTTTGATCCCCTTGCTGGGAAATCTGTGGCCAACAACTACATGTGCTGTTTCTCTAAGAAACACCATGGCATCTGCAGTCCATTTCTCCCTTAAAGTCCATCTTATTTTCAGCTTAGCTTACTCAAGTTCTCTTAGAACTGTTTATATCTCTTTTGTCTGATCATCTTCTTCAAGTTTCCTGATTTCATTTTTTAAACAATTTATAGTTTCACGACTTGCCTTTAATCTCTCCTTAAGCTCTGCAATTTCAAAGCTTGTTTTTTTCTTCGCAGCTTCTAATTTTTCTCTGGTTTTCACTTCAAGTTCTGCAACTAAGGAAAACATATTTTTCTTTAACTATTTCATTTTTCTCACATGTATAAAGTATGTCAGAGAGTAATAAATATGGCATTTCCTTAGGTCAGTTTCCATGATGAAATGTTAACTTAAGACACATTAAACACAGGGAAGTGGGTAGAAAGTTTAAACTCTCACAAGAGAATCCAAGATGTTTTCTACAACTAAGGTTGAAATTATGGCCATTCACATTTTATTTCCCAATTAAGATGTTAAGATATAACGTCCTAGTTTTTCTCCCCATACCCATGTTAATTTGGAAATAAGGTGGCATACAATCCAAGAGACACCCAGCCAATAAGAGCTAACTAAATAGCGCTCTTCAATATATGTACAGGTAAAACTTACATAGAATCACACCGGTAGGGCAACCCTGGTGGCGCAGCGGTTTAGCACTGCCTTCAGCCCAGGGCATGATCTTGAAGTCCTGGGATCGAGTCCCACATCGGGCTCCCTGAATGGAGCCTGCTTCTCTCTGTGTCTCTCTCATGAATGAATTAAAACAAACAAACAAACAAAAAACCTCTTTAAAAAAAAAAAAAAAAGAATCACACTGGTAGAGGATCCCTGGGTGGCTCAGCGGTTGAGCACCTGCCTTTGGCCCAGGGTGTGATCTTAGAGGCCTGGGATGGAGTCCCACATGGGGCTCGCTGCATGGAACCTGCTTCTCCCTCTTCCTGTGTCTGTCTGCCTCCCTCTCTCTCTCTCTCTCTCTCTCTGTCTCTCATAAATAAATAAAAATCTTAAAAAAAAAACTTAGTTAAAAAAAGAAAAAACAATCACACCAGTAAAACAAACCCTTATCTTTTTAAGAAAAAGATTAGCAATAACCACCTAGGTTTAAATTCCAGCTGTACCATTTACTAGCTGTGCCACTGTTATTTCTATGCCCACTTCCCATTATAATGATGCATATTATAATGAGACCATAATGAACACCTCATATTATGTGAAAAACATTTTTAAAAAAATTTTAACTTCTGGTTTTATTTAAAACCTCCCCTAACATAGGCCTACAGTACACCTCTCTGAAGCTTTATCTGATTTTTTTTTTAAGATTTTATTTATTTGCCAGAGAGAGTGAGCCAGAGAGCACAAGACAAGGAGCGGGGGTGGGGTGGGGGTGACGGGGGAGAAGTAGACTCCCCACTGAGCAAGGGAGCTGGATGTGGGCTCCTGCAGAGCTCAATCCCAGTATTTTGGGATCATGACCCGAGCCAAAAGTAAATGTTTAGCCAAATGAGCCACCCAGGTGCCCCTAACTTCTAGTTTTAATTGTCTCATTTAGTTTATTTTGCAACCTATTTCTTTTCCCCAAACTAGTCTTAATGGTTTTGCAGAAATTCTGGGAGATAATGTGCCCTTAGTTGAGTTTTTCTACTTTCTTGGTGTTTGTGGAATGACTCCTACTGGTATTAATGACCAGCTAGCATCTTAGGAAAGCAGACCTGTAAACTTTTATGTAAGAAGTTCATATGTAAAACTTTATTCAAAAATTTTAAACGAATTAATGTATATAAAGTATCTAGAATACGGTCAGGTACATAAAAAGCCATCCTAACTACCATTATGGTAGAGGAACACTAAATGATATTTAACTTTCTAAGCCTGTTATATAACAAATTACTAAAGAAAATATCATTACTGCAAAATAGAATACAGCTATTTAAATATCCCACTTGGACAGTGCAGCATTTTGTTTTACAAAGAAAAATGCCGACTTCTGTCTAGCATTTCCATCTTGTGGACGTTTCAGGTAACTGCTGCTAATGACTATTAAAGCACGGTTGTACTTTTTTTTTTTCTTTTTTAAAGATTTTGTTTTTTCAAGAAAGACACAGAGAGAGGCAGACACACAGGCAGGAGAAGAGGCAGGCTCCTCACAGGGATCAAGTCCGATGTGGGACTCAATCCTGGGCAACATACCCTGAGCTGAAGGCAGCTGCTCAACCAGAGCCACCCAGGCGTCCCACGGTTGTACTTTTGATAAAATGAACACTAACTCAAGGCAGCATGGTTTGGTGGGGGAGAAAAACCCTTTGAAATCAGAAACACTTTAGTTCAAATACAACCTTGGCCCCTTATTAGCTAACGCTGATATCTCCTAAGTCTCCCTCAATCTTTTCTATTTAGTACAGTTAAAACTGTATTTCTCAGAGGCTGAGGATTAAGTAATAAATGTAAAGCATCTAGCACATTAAAAACATGCAATATTTATACAGCTGGTGACTTTCTTTTTATGATACATTTTAAAATACAATAATACAATTTTATATTATCAAAATGATCCTTATTTTTCTTTGTGATTTCTTTCACTGCTTTTAACTTTGAAATTGCTTTTGAAACAGAAATTAAGGCTCAAAAATTAAAAGACTGAAAAATGTAGATAATGAAAAAAATGTCTCCTTTCACTCCTGCCCCACCCACCCACCAGTGTTTCTTCCTGGAGACAATCAGTTTTAAGTTTATTTGGTATCTTTCCAGAAATAATTTGTCCACAGACCAGCACACATCTAAGTGTGATTTCTTCTCGCCCCCAAAACAAGTGGTATCACACTATCGACAAACTGTGCTGCATCTTGCTTATGTCTAAAAGCCTATTCTGTATCTACCATACAGCTCTCTCATTCTTTTAATGGCTACAGATGATCTCACCTAATGGATATTAATCTGTCCCCTTTGATGTACACTGAGTATTTCCATTTTTTCTTTTACAAACAATGCTATATGTGTCTGCTGTGCAAAATTATTTCAGTATACTTGTGGGAAAATCAGCACATTGGTAGGATAAACAACTGCAAGTACAACTGTTGGGTCGAAGGATGTATGTAACTTTGAAGGAATGGCAAATGACTCTTAAAGGTTCTATTAATTTATAATCCCACTAGCATTGTATGTCTGTTTCCCTACTACATCAACTCCTTGGTCTCAGTTACCCAAAAAGGTTAAAAATGGTATTTCAGAGTAATTTGCATTCTATTTTTACTACTGAGGCTGACCAATCTTTTTATGTTTAGAAGAGACATTTCTCCCTTCCTTTTTATGGATTGTCTGTCTTTCCTTTGCTATTTTTTCTATCACATTGACTTTTTAAAAAATTGAGGTAGAACCGACATTAGTTTCAGGTGTACAACATAATGATTCCACATTTGTATATACTGCAAAATGATCATCACAGTAAGTCTAGTTAATTAACACTGTCACCACAGTTACAAAATTTATTTTCCGGTGATGAGAACTTTTAAGATCTCTTAGCAACTTTCCAATATGCAATACAGTATTGCTAACTAGTTACATCCCCATGACTTATTTATTTTATAACTGGAAGTTTGTGCCTTTTGACCCCTTTCAGCCATTTCACCAACCTCCCACCCTCACCTCTGACAATCACCAATCTGGTCTCTATGAGCTTGTTTTAAGATTTATTTATTTTAGATAAAGAGCATGAATGCCTGTGTGAATAGGGAGAGAGGGTGAGAGAAGAGCAGACTCCCTGCTGAGTGTGAAGCCCAATGTGGTACTTGATTTCCACTCTGAGATCATGACCTGAGCCAAAAATTAAGAGTCAGACGCGCTTAACTGACCGAGCTGCCTAGGCACTGTGGGTTTTTTTTTTTTTTTAATATTTCATATGGAAGTGAGATCATTTGGCATTTCTTTCTCTGACTTACTTCACTTAGCCTAATGCCCTCAAGGTCCATCCATGTTGTCACAAATGTTAAGATTTCCTTCTTTTTTTATGGCTGAATAATATTCCATTGTGTATATACCCCATTTTCTTTATTCATTCATCAATAGACACTTAGGTTGTTTTCATATTGGGCTATTGTAAATAATGTTGCAATTAAAATGGGGGATTCTATTAGCACCTCAATTTTCAATTAATATTTGTTTTCTTCAGAGAAATATCCAGAAGTGGCATTACTGAATCATATGGTAGTTCTGTTTTTAATTTTTTGAAATTTTCGAATTTCCATGCTGTTTTCCATAGTGGCTGCACCAATTTATATTCCTACCAACAGCATATCAGGGTTTCCTTTTCTCTACATCCTTGCCAACACTTATTTCTTGTCCCTTAGATAACAGCCATTTTCTAGGTGTGAGGTCATATCTCATTCTAATTTTAAGTTGCATTTCTCTGAAGATTAGTGATACTGAGCACCTTTTCATGTACCTGTTGGTCATCTGTAGGTCTTCTTTGGAAAACAATCTCATTTTTAAACTTGCTCATTTTTAAACTGGATTATTTGCTTCTTTTTTGCTACTGAGTTGTGGAGTTCTTTGTTTCGGATATTAATCCCTTATCAGATATATAATCTGTAAATATGTTTTTTCCCATTCGGTATGTTGCCTTTTCATTTTGGTGGTGCTTTCCTTTGCTGTGCAGAAACTTTTTAGTTATCGGCATTTCTTACTGATGTGTAGGAGCTCTTTATACATTAAAGAAACTCGTCATTTGTGATAGGAGTACGATATTTTTTCGTGGCTTGTCTGCCTTTAGACTTTGTTTAGAGCGTTTTACCATGCAAAAATTTTTATTCCCTTACTCCCTCTCTCTCCATATCAATTAACAAATGCATACTGAGTGAAAGGCACTTTGCCAGATGCTAGGCTGAGGTAGGAGAGAGACAAGAAAAAAAATATGTATTACTATAGAAACCCCTAAGAAGGATGTTTTAAATTATTCACAAAGTATATATACTTTCAGAAAGGTAAAAGACAGCCTCTCACATTCTCTGAAATACTGTCTTTTATTCCCTAATTACATTTAAGGATAGCTTTTCGTTAATCTTGCTTAACCTGTCACTCAACCATTTTCTGTTTACTAGTCTTTGGTCATAAAGTCTGTGTGAAGAACCCTGCAGAACACAATTACAGTTGACCCTGAAACAACACAGACTTTAGGGGTGCTGACCACTCTCCCTTACCCAACCCGGTGACAGTCAAAACTGTGTATAACTTAACTTCCCAAATACTTCACTACTAAGAGACTACTGTTTCAATTAATATTTGTTTTAATTGAAGCCTTACTAAGAATCAATTAACACATATTTTGAATATTATATATATTTAGTCTGTATAATAAAGCTAGAAAAAAATGTTAAAGGAAGAGAAAATACATTTACAGTACTATACTGTATATTTTTTAACTCTTAAAAATTTACTTTTATATATCCTTAGAAAAACAGTAATAGTCACTAATCATAATCTTTTCACCATTATAGAATACATCATTTTTTAGGATTAATTATGAATTCATGGCACTTACATTCTGTTTCATGCTTATAGGCTCCTAATGTTAGCTGGCGAGATGTTGTTAACAATTGTTGCATCATTGCTGTTGGGTCTTGAAATATCTAATGGGATAGAATGAAAAAGTAGCCCAATAACTTCAAAGTTCTATAACTTAAAATGCTTTTAAAATTCTCATTATAAAATCTTCTTACCATTTCATCATAGAACTCTGAAACCACTGTCTTTTTTCCCAGCATTGCATTGGTGTCTGACTGAAACAGCTTTAATAAATGATAGAGGGTTACCTGTGAAATAAAAACAGATGTCACATCTGTGCAATGGTTTTCATCACCGTGAGACATCATGATTTCTGTAACTGAATTAGAAAGTAGAATTAGTTAATATTTCAAATGCAGAATTATCTTAACTACAACTTACTGTGTGGCAAATCAAATTCTGTACTTCTATTTTTCTATTAGGTATTATTATCCATCCACATCTACTAAAGCTGAATGTTTTAAAGAGGGTAGGTATGGATGTTATAAAACATCTCTACAGAAAGACTATGTAGAAAAATAACATGAAATACAGCTATAGAAACTAAACTGGAAAATCATGAAGATGGGAATTTTTTTACTTCCATAAGTGAAATCAGATTAATTTTGACAGTTATTCTGTGAAGATTAGTTTACAAATTTACAGGGGGAGAAAAGATTTGACACTTTCAAAATAAATAACCAATACTAAAATGCTCAGTGACGCCAAGAAATTTTCTCTGGTGGTCTATAACATAATAAACAAAAGTCAGTCAATGTTAATTCACTTTGGTAGAAGCAACAGGTCTTCAAAATACATAAAAACATGTATGACACGAAATCAAAGGAAAACCTTTGCAGCACAATGCGTGATTACTTGAGCAAAATAAAACTTGGCTAGTAAAACAGTAGAGTTGATATTGAAGGTGTAGAAACCAATTCAGAGGCCTCAAAGAATTTTCCAAACGGTTAGCTAAAATAATTATAAGGAACATGTATCATACGCCATACTTAAAGATAATTTGACAAATTTCTCAAGTAGACAAAAAGGAGGTAAGACCACACAGGTGGATAAAGAGAAATTCACAACGAAAAGTTAAGGTTGAAAACAGCAGCAGAGGTTGGAGCCAGCAGAGACAGGGAGGCTTCAAGCCCAACGCTGCCAAGTACAGAAGTCAAGAATGCTTTGCGGTGGCTGGGTCTGTTAACCTTCCTTTCTCCAATCACTCAAAGACAAGAGAGCATATCCCCCTGTGAAATTTAGACTTTTTTACCCAAACAATCAAGTATGAGGTAAAAATAACGATATTTTCAGGTAGCAAAGGCTCTGAAGGTTTATTTCTCAGGCATCCTTTCTAAAGAAATTCCTCCAGTGAAATGAAAAAAGCCTGGAACAATGAAGAAAAAGGATCATCTGTCCTCACATGAGGAGATGATGACAGGTACTATTGAAAACTGAAAAATCTGAACAGAGATTTAAATATATGAGATACATGGGAGTAATTTCTAGAGAAACTGAAAACAATCACTGTAGTTTTCCTACGGAAGGGGCCAGAGATGGGATAAAGATGTGATGGGTTGAACTGTGTCCCCCTAAAAGATATGCCGAAGCCCTAACCCTCAGTACTAGTAAATGTGACCTTCTTTTGAAACAGATGTAATCAACTTAAGATGGGAGTTCTCAGGTTAGGCCCTAATCCAACATGATGGATGTCCTCATAAGAGACACAGAGACAAGGAGGGAGAGGAGCCAGGTGACAATGAAGGCAAAGATTTTAGTTATGCCACCAATACCAAGAAACACCTGTGGCTACCAGGAACTAGAAGAGGCAAGAAAGGATCCTTCCCTAGAGGTTCTGGAGAGAGCATGACCAATACCTTGATTTTGGACTTCTAGTGTCCAGAACTGTGAGATACCTGTTGTTTTTAGCCACTCAGCTTATGATGCTTTGTTATGGCAGCCCTAAGAAATTGACACAGGAGACTTCTATTTTTTGTTTTTAAAATCTTTTTTAAAACTATGTGCATAAAAAAAATAAAAATAAATAAAATAAATAAAATAAATAAAACCATGTGCATATCTTAGTTTTACAATTTAAGAACAACTTAAAACTGTACTTCCTTGAATTTATTATTCAGACACCTAAAGCCATTCATATAGACAAAGACAATGAAAAATGTAAAGACAGATGTCTCTAATTTTGACAGGTGTTTGAAGATTCTCAGAGCAATGAAAATGCCTATGCTAGCCATGAAAATATTTCTAGGAATAAAAACCCAATTTTAGCTTTTTTTTTTTTTTTTTAAGGAACCATTCCTTTTAGAATGGTTTGATATATAATAGGTTGCTGGGTAACAGAAATAAATCACACATTACTTTTGTCTTTCTTTTATATTTTAAATAAGCCTTCATGACTTAAAGAGCCAACAATTACTAAAGTATAATGGTTTCATCATACTAAAAGAAAACGACACCAGTTCTTGGGTAATAAAATTTAGGCCTGTGTAGATCTGTATGGAAACGTATTCAATAAATTAATTACTGCAGAAGTACAATAACCATTCTTTCCAAGAGTGGACTTTGAGAATGGTTTCATAATGAAGTTATATGACACAATGACTTCTTTCAGTGTATTTTCCAATTGGGAGTGGTGGGTAAGACCGATGAAGGACAGCCAGGTAAGGCTACGCAATCTCACAAAGTTAAAAAGAGTTTCTGCCCCAGTAGCAGATTTTTCTTCTCTCTCAACATCTGCTGTATTTCTGTGTTTTCTCCCTAACAGACTATTTTCATTAAGGACAAGAGCAGTATCTCATCCCTGTATCCTTGAATAGTATATTGGCAAATAATGGACATTAATAATTTCTTGCCAGGTAGAATATAATGTCTTTTGAAAGTTTTTTTTTTTTTTTTTTTTTTTTTAAGATTTTGTTTATTTGACAGAATGTGAGAGAGGATAAGCAGGGGCAGCAGCACAGGGAGAGCAAGAAGCAGGCTCCCCACTGAGCAGGGAGCCCAACGCGGGGCTCACTCCCAGGACCCTGAGGATCATGACCTGTGTTGAAGGCAGATACTTAACTGAGTCACCCAGGTGCCCTGTTGAGAGTATTCTAGAAGGACAAAAGGAAGATAGGAGATCTGGAAACCTCATCACATGGAAAATAATTAAATGAGCTATAAATGTTATTTAGGAGAAAAAAAACCAAATGTATGAATAGTTATCAGTAAAAAACTGAATGAAGCTTAACATAAACTAGAGCTTTCTTACCACTTGAACTACCCCAAATATGAATAGGATGTTTCACGTAACAACAAAACTCAATAGTCTCTCTACTGGAGACAGCAAGACCAAACAAGACTCTCACTTGAATTCCTATGTAGGAAGAGCGTGGCCTCTATCTATTGGTCCTAAATATTACTGTGCACCAGAATCACCCGGGGTGTTGGCCCCAATCCAAACCTACTAAATCAGACTCTCCAGGGGATGGGATCCAGAGTTTCAATTTTTAAAAAATTCTGATATCTTTGGTGCAGTCCACTAAGAACTAATTTTCTGAACTACAGGCTCAAGTCACAGCTCCTTTAGAAGCACATACAATTTTCAAAATGTAACCTGATTACTAAAGTGTAAATGGTGCTAAAGGAATGAACTCAATCTACCAAGATGAAAATTAACGATGATGACCTGAAACTAGAGTTAAATACCAACAATAACAATGTGGAAGGAAAGAGCCATAACTGAGTTGTGACCCTGTGGGTTTACAAACAGAACAAGTTGAGTGGTTTTAGCCAAAAGAAAGGGTAATGGAAAGAATGTGAGGTCTGAATGCAAATAACTTGGGTTCAAAAACTAGTTCTGCCACAGTTTGTGTTTTTGAGCATATGACTTGATCCCCAAACCTTAGAATCCTCATCTCTAAGATGGTATCATCAATCTCACAAAACTCCTGAGGGATCAAAGTGAAAGTTTTAAGGGACTTTTTACATTACCAAGCAATAATCTAATAAGAGATCAAAAGATGAAAAAAAAAATCAGTGGTTATAAATAAAAATTCATGAATAAAATAGAAAGTAAAGCTTCTAGTACTGATAGCAACTTGAAAAAGCAGGAAGACTGTTGCTAGGGCTTTTTTTTACTATAAAAAGCTAGATACTCTCATTCCAGACAACAAATGGATTAGTCTTATTACTGATAACCAAATAATTATTAATGAATTTTAAGCTTTTTTGCTATAGTAATCACATGATTCCATGGTTTCTTTCTGAGAAAAGTCCACGTTATATCCCTTCTTTCCATGCTTGAAAACTAAGTTTCGAGAGGCACTCCCCATTAAAATGAAAAACCTTACTTAACTCATGGCAAGATACATACATCATGCTAAAAGCTTACATAAAGTTTATCTGAATAAAAATGTTAACACATAACAAACTATTCATTAAGTATATAACATTTTCACGATTATAAAAATCTATTTTATGCAAAGATTATCGTTACTCACAGGTCTTTCATTAGGGTCAATGAAAAATATTTTGATGATTATTTCGAATTCACCCCATCCTGTTTCAGTAATTTCATATGGAGGTTTAGTAACAACTGAAGAGAAAAAAAAAAACAATTATAAATTATAAATAATTAATACAGTCTTCTACATCTTTTTAAATTTGTTAAATTATCTATTATGAATCAAAAAACTGTACTGTACCTCTTAAAGGATTGCCATAGCTCTCATGTAATTTAAATTGGATTTTTTTCACATATGCTGACATATCCTACAATACAGAGGAATTAATTAGTTCTGCCATCTACAATAAAAATAGGAGTAAAATACACTGAGTATTGTACCTAATTTTATAAAATATACATTCCCTCAAATTTTATGGAATCTAATTTTATTTTCTTTTATTTAAACTTTTATGTACAGTTAACATTTCATAGTTTCAGGTGTACAATATAGTAATTCAACAATTCCACACATTACACAGTGCTTGCTATGACAAGTGCACTCTTTAATCCCCACTGGACTCCTAATTTTCTAAAAAACATGAGTTATACCCAGATTTGGTACTTATTATTTTTTTAAAGATTTTATTTTATTCATTCATGAGAGACACAGAGTGAGAAAGAGAGAAAGAGAGGGGTGGGGGCAGAGGGAGAAGCAGGCTCTGTGCAGGGAGCCTGACGTGGGACTCGATCCCGGGTCTCTAGGATCACAACCTGGGCCAAAGGCAGCGCTAAACCACTAAGCCACCAGGGCTGCCCTCGGTATTTAAACAAAGGACACCGGAGTTGAATTCTTTCAGAACTCATACGGGAATATACCCATCACTCATTCACTTGTTTTGCAAATCCTTTTTTTATATATCTCTACAGACAATGCTCTAAATTAATTTTGATTTTCTTTTTAAAATTTATTTGGCAGAGATAAAGGGAGAAAGAGAGAGAGAGAGAGAGAACAAGCAGGGGGAGTGGCAGGCAGAGGAAGAGGGAGAAGCAGACTCCCTGCCAAGCAAGAAGCCTGATGGATCCCACCAGGACCCTGGGATCATGATCTGAGCTGAAGGCAGATGCTTAACCAATGAAGCTACCGAGGTGCCCCAAAGATTGATTGATTGATTATTGGGGGGAGGAGCAGAGAGGTGGGAAGATTTTTATTTTCTAATTTTTTTTTTTTATGACAGTCACAGAGAGAGAGAGAGAGAGAGAGAGAGAGAGGCAGAGACACAGGCAGAGGGAGAAGCAGGCTCCGTGCAGGGAGCCCGATGTGGGATTCGATCCCGGGTCTCCAGGATCGCGCCCCGGGCCAAAGACAGGCGCCAAACCACTGTGCCACCCAGGGATCCCAGATTTTTATTTACTATAAAAACATTTCCAACATACTTTTTAGAAATAAGCATATAAATTAAAGCACATCTAAGAACTAAGCAAATTTAAAGAACAAAATTCTATTATACAAAGCTAAGGTCAACTAAACTAAGCAACCTAGAACCATCAGACAGAAAACTCCTCAATTTTATTTTGAAGCACGGGAGCATATTCACTAGTGCTGGCACGCAAAAGGGATTCTCCTAGGAAAAGTGGCTTTTTCAAAAAAATTCATTGTAGAAAAATAAGAACATGCAAAACAGAATCAGTCACACTGGACAGTAGTGTTCATTAATCTTTTTATTTGCTTTCATGGCATTTTTTATGTGCTTATTATCCACATTTTTAAAAAACTGAGGTCATATAATGATATACTGATACCTGCTTTCATCACTTTATATTATGAACATTTTTTTGCAGCAGATTTTCATAAGCACGTTTGAAGACTCTTTGGGAAAACATTCATTATTTTCTACAAATATGAGTGACTACCAATACTGGGTACCTGATGCTACAATGGTAAATAACAGATTCTTATCCTTAGGGTAGGGAGCTGACAAGAAAACCAGCATTTCAATGTTACCTGTGTAGGGAGGGCAATATGTATAAATTTGCAGGAATGGCACCTAATCTAGATCTTTGGAGATCAAGAGAGTAGCTCAAAGGGAAGTACACTTAAGCTAAGACCTAAAGAAACACTAAGAATGGAGTAGGTAGGAAGGAATGAATAAAGATATTTAAGAGTGTCCCTTTGGGAAACTGAGAGTAATCTAGTATTGATGGAATGAATGTAGAGTATAAGGAAATGATGAGGCAAACACAGCAAGGGATAAGAATGCAGACAAAATTAGGAAAGACCACGGCAGACTTTCTAAAATCTTTTAATTAAAGATTGTATTTTTAAGTCATCTCTATACCCAGCATGGGGCTTGAACTCACAACCCCAGATCAAGAGTCACAAGCTCTACTGACTGCCTGACTGAGCCAGGCACCCCTAAAATATGATAGTTTTAACTTTATCCTGAGGGCAACAGGTAGTCACTGAAGAGCTGTTGTTTTAAATAAGACCTTTATCAAGATATTCACATACAAAAAAAAAAAAAAAGATATTCACATACCACACAATTCCCCCGTTTATAATGACTATTCAATGGTTTTTTAGTACATTCAGAATTGTACAGCCATCCCCACAATCAATTTTAGAATATTTTTATCACACAAAAAGAAACCCCACATCCAACAGCACTCAATTCTAAGTCCCTCCTTGCCTCATCCACTGGCAACCACTAATCTATTTTCTGTGTCTACGGATTTGCCTATTCTGGACATTTTATAAAAATGGAATCATCCAATATATGATTTTGGTCTGGCTTCTTTCACTTACAATAATGTTTCTAAATTTATTCCATGTGGTAGTAGCATATATCAGTACTTTATTTCTTTTACTAATAATATTCCATTGTATGGATGTGCTGTATTTTATTTATCCATTCATCAGCTGAAAGATATTTGGGGTGTTTCCATTTTTTTGGCTATCATGAATAATGCGGCTACAAACATTCACACATAAGTTTTTGTGTGAATTTTCAAGGGTTTTATATTGAGAAATATTCATTCAATGACTATCTGCTGAATACCTACTATGGACTATGTTCCAGGGATTAGAGATTCAGCAGCAAAACAAAATTACCAGCAGCCAGATTATACAGTGTTTTGTCTTTCACCTTCTCTGATGGTCTTATTAACAAATTGTTCCAGGACACCTGAGTGGCTCAGTGGTTTAGCACCTGCCTTCAGCCCAGGGTATGATCCTGGAGTCCCAGGATCGAGTCCTGCATCGGGATCCCTGCATGGAGCCTGCTTCTCCCTCTGCCTGGGTCTCTGACTCTCTCTCTCTCTCTGTGTGTGTGTGTCTCTCATGAATAAATAAATAAAATCTTAAAAAAAAAAAATTGTTCCTAAAAAGTGTTAACTACTCTTCCTGAAACACCTGATTAAATACTGGGCTAACCACCTGATTAAATACTGGGCTAACTTATTAATACATGATTGGAACATATACTCTGCTTATAGCATGGTTCTTGTTACCATAACTTAAAAGTGACTATAAAATATTACAATTTATCTTCAATCAAAACCAAACTGTGGTTTCAAAAAAGTTATAGAAGAAACAAGTGCCTACCTCATTTCTATATGGTTTTACATACACGGTCCACTGATGGGTGTGCCCATCCTCTTCTCTTTTCTTTCCAAAATATCGAGCAACATTACCATAAACTATTGGCTTAACGATAGTAACCCCCTAAAAGAAAAGTAATTTCAACACCAATTAATTTTGTATTATTACCCAAATATACAGAATAAGAGCTCTGAAAACTTGTCTTAAGGAATGGCAGGCAATCTAAATACCTAGCGTTTGCCTATAACATGGATTTCTCTCAAAAATATCAACTGCAGACAATAATCATTTAATATTAACACAAGTAACTAAATACCAGATTAATTACAATGTTCCCACTTTGAAAATGTCGATTTAAATCATGTAAAAATAATTTTTTCTTTTCTTTTTTTTGAAGAAAGGTGAAGTGCTCTTTATTCACAAACTTTAAAGTGAGACTCCGGAATTAAGACCGCCAATTTTGACTGCCATCACCTGATGGGAACAATGTCCTGATTTACCAGCTTATGGCAGTGTTTTCCAAAGCACAGTACAAATACTAAAGGCTGTCTGGGAAAGGACTTTAGGTAGAATTAGGACAAACATTTTTTTAATTTATTACTTATGTGTTAGGTTCTGAGGTGTAGGTACATGTTTCTCATCGCATCTGGTTAAGGGTAGAGGTATTGACTGTTGCCATATTATTATGGAAAGGAGAGACAGGTTTCAAGTGAGGAGAAAACGTTGAATTGTTGCACATGAAATTTGAAACTATGTTCAACAGTAAGAATGTATCTGAAAGTCAAAGAGCAAGATAGACCACATGTGAAAAGGGCTGTGCCAATGTAGTCAACAGTTAATAAGAAGCGAGGAAAAGCAGTGAACAAATGGAAAAGCTGGATAATTAAAAATTCAATCTCTATTAGCCTCAAGATAGTCCAGAAGAAGGCAAGCAGTTTGTATGAGAATTTAAATAATCTCAGTAAATGTTCTCTGACGCCTATAGTGCCGACAGGTGGGGCATCAGGTTCAATGCCTGAATAAAATGAGCACAAGAAGCACTGGCGTGGGGTGCAGATTACAGATGCTGCAGCTGTTACTGTATTGCTAAAACTTGCAGATTTCCTCAGTGATGCAAAGGGGTTCATCTGTCAATAGACTTTCTAGCTGAAGGAAATTTCTCTAAATTGAACAGCCAAATCCCAGCGAAGGAAATTTATTGAAATTGGAAAAAGATGCCTACCAAACAATAATCAAGAACAATTAGTAAATCCTTAATTTTAAAGCTTTACATGACATGCACTCTTTTGTGGAAAAGTGTGTGAGGACTCCAAGCCTAATTTTCTCAAATCACTTTGGACTTAACTTTTTGAAGCTTACAGGATTACAAGTAGAGAAAGTTTGTCGTTTTTTTTAAAGATTTTATTTATTTATTTATGAGAGAGAGAGGCAGAGACAGGCAGAGGGAGAAGCAGGCTCCATGCAGGGAGCCCAAAGACATGGGACTGGATCCTGGGTCTCCAGGATCATGCCCCGAGCTGCAGGTGGCGCTAAACTGCTGAGCCCCCCCCCCCCCCCCCCCCCCCCCCGGGGCTGGCCCAAGTAAAGAAAGTTCTAAGTTCTTCTCCAAAAGCTAACTTTTTTTAAAGCCTTCAATAGCACTTTCCTATCTATCCAAAGACTTGCCCAAAGCTTGGACAAAAGATATACTTACAAAGTTCCTGGAATTATGGATTTTACCTGCCATCTTTCCCTTTCCGTTAAATGTTGGTAGTTTCTTAAGTTTTCCAACAATTCCTACTTTGCAGGTGATATTAAAGCACCATGCGTGATACAGTTGTATACAGCTGAGAGTACAGAGGTTGGTGCAAACGGGGCTCCCTTCTTTTTATTTTTTTTTTAAGATTTTATTTATTCATGAGAGAACAGAGAGAGAGAGGCAGAGGGAGAAGCAGGCTCCATGCAGGGAGCCCGACGTGGGACTCATCCCAGGTTTCCAGGATCACACCGCGGGCTGCAGGCTGCAGGCGGTGCTAAACCGCTGAGCCACCAGGGGATTCCCCCTCCCTTCTTCTTCTTTTTTTTTTTTTTAAGACTCATTCATTCATTCATTCATTCATTCTGATAGACATAGAGAGAGGCAGAGACACGGGCAGAGGGAGAAGGCGGCTCCATGCAGGGAGCCCTACGTCGGATGTGGGACTCGATCCCGGGTCTCCAGGATCATGTCCTGGGCTGCAGGCGGTGCTAAACCGCTGAGCCACCAGGGGATCCCCCTCCCTTCATTTTAAAGAGAAATTTCCTTTTCTGCAATGAGTCGAAGATCAGAGAAGGGTTGTAAACACAGCTGTTCCATCAAGAACCAGACAGTCAGTCTTGCCTTAAAAGCCAACGTGCCAGGGGATCCCTAGAGGGCTCAGCGGTTTAGCGCCTTCCTTCGGCCCAGGTCGTGACCCGGGAATCCCGGGATCGAGTCCCACGTCGGGCTCCCCGCACGGAGCCTACTTCTCCCTCCGTGTCTCTGCCTCTCTCTCTCTCTCTCTCTCTCTGTGTCATGCATAAATAAACAAAATCTTAAAGAAAGTGGGAGAGTTAATGTGTCCCATTTGCAAAAGAAACTTGCAAAAGAAAAGGAACCTTAGTGACCGTCGTCTCCGAGCCTTGATGCTAGGGCGGTGGCAGCGTGGGGCCGCGGGGCCGGCCCCGCCCTTCAGGCCCCACCTGCACACGCACGGGGTCACCTGGCGAGGCCGCCGCGGGCCCGGATCAGCGACGTCCACGCCCCCCGTCACGCCATCCGCGGGGCGAGGCGAGCGCAGAGCCGGTCAAGTCGCAGCCGAAACATCACCCAAACCCCAGACTGCCCCTCTCCCCCGCGCAGCCGCTGCCTCGCGCTCGGTCCAGGAGCCGCAGCTCACGCCCCGGCCGAGAAGGCGCGACCGGGACCCCGCCCCCGGGACCCCGCCCCCGGGACCCCGCCCCCAGAGCCACGCGGACGGCGGCGCGAGCCGGGCACTGACCTTCACTCTCCCGCCGGAGTCAGGCCCAAATTCGGCCATTCTCTTGAACATATTGTCCTACGGAAGAAGCCGCCGCCGCCGCCAGGGAAACACACCGGGGCCGGCGGGGTCGCCGCTCCCGTCAGAGGCCACGCTCCTCCCGCGCGGGGCCCAGGCGGCTGGTTCCTGGCGGAGCGAGGGCGCGACGCCGACGAGCGGCCAAGTCCTGGCGGCCGGCGGGAGGCGGGAAGCCGGCGGCGGGGCGGGCGGCGGGAGGCGGCGTCTCGGAAGCGCGTGGAGCTCCGCGCCTGAGAGCCCCACGGAAGCGGGAGCGCTGGCGGCGCGACTGCGCAGGCGCAGGGAGCTGGCGGCGCGAGTGCGCAGGCGCAGACCGTGGCCCAGCCGGCGGGGCGTGGCCGGGGCGTGGCCGGGGCGGGGCGGGGCTGGAGGCGGGAGGGGGCGGGGCGGTGGTCCTGGCGCGCCCCCAGGCCCGGTGCCTACGGAACCACCCAGGGGTTGGCTCTCGGAGCTCGTCCGTGGTCGATTCCGAGGTCAAGTTCGCCCACCCCGCTGGCCCGCCTGCAGCTTTCCGTCGTTTTCAGCCAGCCCTCCGAGCAGGAAGCGCCGATTTGTTATTTACCGGCTTCTCCCTTTCCCTGCTCTTTCCCGGAGGCGGTGCCGCCGGCGGCAGAACAGGGCGCCGGGCTCCCTCGCTGCGCCCGCAGGGGTCGGGGCCGCGCTAGGCGCCTGCGCGTCGGCTGCAGCCTGAGACGCCACCGGGCGCTCGTCGCTGCGGCCCGGCCCCTGTGGGCTAGGCTGCCCGGCTCTCAGAGCCCGGCTCTGACGTCAGCCCTCGCGCCCTTTTTTTTTTTTTTTTGAAGATTTTATTTATTTATCCATGAGAGACACACAGAGAGAGGCAGAGACACAGTCAGAGGGAGAAGCAGGCTCCGTGCAGGGAGCCCCATGCGGGACTCGGTCCCCGGATCCCGGGTCACGACCTGGGCGAAGGCGGCGCTAAACCGCTGCGCCACCCGAGCTGCCCCCTCCCACTCTTTTAGAGGATGACGTCGCGGGGAACCTCACTCAGAAGACAGACCGCCGCGCCAGCTTTGGTTTCCCCAACGTTTTCCCATCCACTTTCCTGCAGCTTTCCCTGTACGTTGCGCTTTTTCCCATAAGAAGAATGACGTTTAAATCTTTCTCATTAAGAACAGCATGAAGGTTCCCTAAAAAACTAACAAACAAAAAACAAAAACAAAAACCCTACTGTGCTAGATCTAGCAATTGCACTACTTGGTATTACCCAAAGGATACAAAAATACCGCTGTTTAGAGCAGCGTTAGCAATAGTAACCACGAGAGGGCAGCCTGGGTGGCTCAGCGGTTTAACACCTGCCTTGGGCCCAGGTCGTGACCCAGGATCCAGGGATGCAGGAGTCCCGCATCAGGCTCCCTGCATGGAACCTGCTTCTCTCTCTGCCTGTGTCTCTGCCTCTCTCTGTGTGTTTCTCAGGAATAAATAAATAAATAAAATATTTTTAAAAGATTACCTGTTATTTACCACCAAGGAACAAAACAGAGAAAAACATGGTCTCTGGTTTATAGACCACCAGGAAGAGTTGAGGAGGGACTACCATACAGAAAATAGGTAGATTAATGAAACATATGCTTGTTGGGTCCCAGGGCCTCTCTGTCTCTCACTTAACTCTTAAAATGCTGGCAAACAGGCAACAGGGAGAGCTCCTCTGGGGAGTCTGACCAGCCTAAGAGAGGAGATCTAAGGACCCCCAACGAAACTGACTCAAGCCAGCTTGATCATCCTTCAGCAAAGTACACATGGTCAATAGACCCTTAGGACTCCAAATTAAACTTTTAGTTTTCTACTCCTAAATTTAAGTAGATAAGGATTCCCAAATAACTGAGAAATGCCTCTAATATGAAAGATACAATTCAAAAGAAACAAAATGGCAGATTATAGGGAGCATAGGGAAGTAAAGTAGAAACAAACAAAACTGTTATTATTACTATACTCAGATAAAGTAAAAAATAGCAAGCAACACAAAACAAAGAAAAAAGGAACATTTAGTGAACAAAAAAGAGCTGTTGGAAATTTAAAATATGGTGGTAGAAATGAAAAAAAAAATCAATTAAGAGGCCAGATAATAAAATCAAAGAAATCTCCCAGAAAATAGAACAAAACACAAATAAATGGAAAAGAGGAAAGAAAGCATAAGAACATCTCTATTAGTTTGCTAGGGCTGCCATAACAAAATGCCACAGGCTCGGTGGCTTGAACAATAGAAATTTATGTTGTCGTGGTTGTGAATGCTAGAAGTCCAAGATCAAGGGGTTGTCAGATCTGGCTTTTCCTGAGGCCTTTCTCCTTGGCTAGCTCACTGTGTCCTCACATGGCCTTTTATCTGTGCATAACATCACTGGCCAGGGAGAGAGGCAGAGACCCAGGCAGAGGGAGAAGCGGTCTCCAAGCAGGGAGCCCGATGTGGGACTCAATCCCAGGACCCCAGGGTCATGCCCTGGGCTGAATACAGGTATTTAACCACTGAACCACCCGGATGTCCCCCTCCTTTTCTTATAAAACACTGTTAAGTAGGGGCCCCACCCTTATGACCTCATGTAATTACCTTAATTACCTCTTTAAAGGCCGTTTATTTTTTTTCATTTTTTATTTTTTTAAAGATTTTATTTATTCATTCATGACAGAGAGAGAGAGGCTGAGACACAGGCAGAAGGAGAAGCAGGCTCCATGCAAAGAGCCCGATGTGGGACTTGATCCTGGGGCTCCAGGATCACGCCCTGAGCCAAAGGCAGATGCTCAACTGCTGAGCCACCAGGTGTCCCATTAAAGGCCATTTAAAAACAAAAAACATTTTATTTATTTATTCATGAGAGACAGACACACAGAGAGAGAGAGAGAGAGAGAGAGGCAGAGACACAGGCAGAGGACGAAGCAGGCTCCATGCAGGGAGCTTGATGTTGGATTCAATCTCAGGACCTAGGATCACACCGCAGTTGGCTAAAGGCAGGTGCTGAACTGCTGAACCACCCCCTCCATCACCACCCCCCCCTTTTAAAGGCATCCCCATCACCGCCCCCCCCTTTTTAAAAAGATTTTATTTTAAAGGCCTTATCATCACATACAGTCATATTGGAGGTTAAGGCTTCAACATATGAACTTTAGAGAGACAAAATTCATTTCATAACTACATCAGAGGACCAGTCTAGGAATTCCAAAGAGAATGAAGAAAATGGAAGGAAATAATAAATGATTCAAGGAAGTTTTCTTGTACTTAAGAGTATGAGTTTCTAAGCCGAAAGATCCTACCGAGCACCCAGAACATAACAGATCCACATCAAGGCACATCATTGCAGACTTCCACAGCACTGGAGATAAAGAGAAGATTATACATACTTCCAGGTTACAAATTCAGAATGGCTTCAGATTGCTCAGTATAGCAACATTGTAATCTCGGGAGCAATGGATTTCCCTAAATTCGGTTCCCAGGTAGTCTGGGTTCAACAGATGACCTTCAAAGTTCTGAAGAGAATTAATTCCGACTTAATATTCCATATCCAGCCAACTATCAAACAAGTGTGTAAATAGAACAAAGGCAATTTCAGACATGCTGTCTCAAGAAAAGTACCTCCCATGTACCCTTTCTCAGGAAGATTCTGGAGGTGTGATTACCAGAATGAGAGAATAAACCAAGAGGAAATTATGAAATACAGGAAATAAAATAAATATCAAATATGGAGATAAGAGAATCCTAAAATGATACTGAAAGAGCAAGCCCAGGATGGTAGCCATGTTTTAGGCGCAGACACCAGTCCCAATTAGATTTGGTGGGAAATATTTGCAAATGAACTGTTTTAAAAAGATGGAATTGGGGCTCCTGGCTGGCTCAGAGGAGCATGTGATTCTTGATCTCACGATCATGAGTTTGAGCTCCACATTGGGTGTAGAGATTACTTAATTAAATAAATTTTTAAAAAGATGAAACTGACAAAATTCTAGCTGTGTCTGGAGCCTTGAGAAACTATTTAAATACTTAATATTTAATGTTTAAATATTAGACCTAGGGACACCTGGGTGACTCAGTGGTTGAGCATCTGCCTTCGGCTCAGGGCGTGATCCTGGGGTCCTGGGATAGAGTCCCTAATCAGGCTCCCTGCATGGATCCTGCTTCTCCTGTCTCTGCCTCTCTCTCTGCCTCTCTGTGTCTCTCGTGAATAAGTAAATAAAATCTTTAAAAAATATATATTAGACCTAGAGTTTGGGAGGTAAACTAATGAGATACATAGAAAACTAAGCAAATTTAAGAATCATGCAGTTATTAGCTCTAGGAAAAATACAATTTTCCATTAGAGAATAAAATAATTATATTTATGGCTATGTAAATACTGAGTATTGGTCTAACAAAAAATATATACTTACATTGGAAGGATGGGCATCAGGGAAGGGTCCCACTTGTGCTAGAGATTGGGGAGGAAGAAATAGAGCCTAATCCTTAATTTCTATAGTGGAAAGTTGATATTCTGACTTGGAAAAATCAAGAAAAGCAATATAAGGCTAATAATTAAAAGCATGGAGGTAAATATAAAAATATAAAAATCAACTTTAAGCTGCCTAAAAGTGGTTGCATGTAAAGGGGAAGAAATGAAAAGGTACATCTTTTTGTCTTTTTAAAAAGATATATTTTATTTATTTATTTGAGAGAGAGCCTGAGCAGAGAGAAAATGCAGAGGCAGAGGAAGAAGAAGGCTTCCTGCTGAGCAGGGAGCTCAATGCGGGGCTCGATCCCAGGACCCGAGGATCATGACCTGAGCTGAAGGTAGGTGGATAACCAACTGAGCCACCAGGGCGCCCTGAGAAGGTACGTCTCTCATAATTAATTTTGTGGGACCGACTCTGTAAACATTGAGAATTTACAACCATATTAAAATTAAAAATGATTTTAAAATATAATTGCACAATAGACATGCATTTAATTGGAAAACATTGTATCTATGAATGACATTAGTCACTCCTGATTATAATTTTTATTAATTCCCTTTCACAACTGCTAAGGAAATATTTTTTAAAGGAGTCCACTAGGGCACCTGGGTGGCATAATCGGTGGGTCCCTGACTGTTCGTTTCTGCTCGGGTCATAATGTCAGGGTTATGAGATTGAGCCCCACGTCAAGCCCCAAGTCAGGGCCTGCCATTCAGCAGGGAATCCGCTTGAGAGTCTCTCTTCCTCTCCTTCTGCTCCTCTCATTCATGGTCTCTTTCTAAAATAAATAAATCTTAAAAAAAATAATAATAGGATGCCTGGGTGGCTCAGCAGTTG